TGCACTCGGGTTCGAGTCCTGTTGGGGTCTTTTTTATTACTACCTCTTCTATTTGCCTCCTAACTTTTAATACTTCCTCTCTTTTTAATTACTAGCTATTAAACTTCTTCTATTTGCCTCTTAACTCTCAATACATTCTCTATTTGTCTCCTAACACTTTATTTTTAATTACTAGCTATTAAACTTCTTCTATTTGCCTCTTAACTCTCAATACATTCTCTATTTGTCTCCTAACACTTTGGTAAGTTATTACTTTTTTTTTCACCCCAGATTTCTTTATTTTTATTTTACATTTCTATTTTTCCAATTCAAAGTATATTATCTTTACTATTTCGGATATTGAAATGCTACTTACATTTTCTGATAAGTACAATAAAATTAAAAAATGACCGTTAGCTATTTATTCCATCTTCAAGAAATGTTTTAATGCGATTTGAATTTTAACATAACTATTTATATATTCTTTGGTTAGTACAAATATGTCAAAATTTCTTGTTACTATTTGAAAATTCTGACTTTATATGAGTATAATTAAATTTATGTTATACATTTGCATACATAAAGCATATCCTTTTTAAAAAATATAGAACCAACAAGTAATGTTGATTTGAAAAGAGAAAAACAAAATTATTATTTTCTTGATAAGTTAATAACTTATATGGAGTACTACATTTTTGTTTAGCTATATTTTTATATAAATCTTGATATTCTAAATAAAAGACAAATGTATTAAATCCAAATAATTTCGCTTGATAAATGAAGTCTATTATTTTGTTTAGGCACTAACAAAACAAGTATAAAAATGAATACATGCCTATATTCAAGTCTATTATTTTGTGAATTGTATATAAGTCCAAAGGGAAAACTGTCAAATAGGTCTTCGAACTTTCATAAAAAGGTCAATTAAGTCCTTCTATAGGAGGTTCTGTCCGGCCGTCGCGATTTGGGGCAGTTCCCGGTGGAATTTTTTGATGAAATGTTTTTAGCATCTTATTCACCAAGTCTAGTTTACTCATACCAAATTTAAGCTAAAAATTCAATCGGGAACACATTCAAATTAATTCTTGAAGATAACTGCGCATTTTTGCGTTCTCGATTTAATTTGAATGCGCTCCCGATTAAATTTTTAGCTGAAATTTGGTATGCGTAAACTAAACTTGATGAATAAGATGCTCAAAATATTTCATCAAAAAATTCCACCGGGAACCACCCCAAATCGCGACGACCGGACAGAGTCTCCTATAGAAGGACTTAATTGACTTTTTTATGAAAGTTCGAGGACCTATTTGACAGTTTTCCCTAAGTCCAAATAAAATCACTTCACGGAAATGAGAATAACTCTTCTGAATTGGATTTGAGATCAAATTACTGCAAATATACTCAAAAAACGGTAGAGATTATCGATCTTTCCAATATGACGGTTTGAGTTTTTTTAGCCTCCCCTTCAATTTTGTTCTGGTTCCGCCACTGCTCTCGTGGCAACTTCTTTGAGGGATATAGCGCAACATTTTATTATTAATTATAGCACAGACAACTATAGTTGTTCTTTATTCATGATTATTCTCATTTTGTCACATTATTGTTGTAAAAAATTATAATTTATTTGAAATAGATAATAGTGTCATGCTAGATTGCTAGTGCCTAGTATTTCAAATTGCGTAACTAACATGTTTTACACAAAAATTTAATAACCTTGTTTTTAGTGTAACAGATGTTATAATGAGTGAGAAAACTCAAAATTCAAGAAAGAAAGGAATGAAACTTATTCTCACAATATTCGTCTGAACAGTGAACACTCAAAAAACAAGAAAGAAATACTCCGGGTATATAAAAACATGTGCTAATTGATGCGGTTATGTATTGTACTATCTTTTTTACTATATATTTTTACTTTTATTTCTATTCAGATTTTGTTGTTAAAAGCTATAGTGTCTAGAATTAGGATGTTTTTACTTGGATTGAAATTTTCTGGTCTGGTCTGACTGGTCTGGTCTGATTTGGTAAAAGACCGGTCTCTGTGTATTTTTTAATTATCCAAGTCTAGACTGTCTGATCTGGTCTGGTCTGAGACTGAAAACAATTTATTTATTTATTTAAGATGCAAATAAGAATCTTTTTCATGTCATATTTCATAGTAAGAAAAATTAGATGTTAAGTTATAATGTTTTATTTTTGTATCTTCTATCTTTTATTAGAGCATGGTATACATTTCACATGTATATCAATTTCAGTTAAATTAGAGCATGGTATACATTTTGCGCGATTCGTGTGGGTAAAAGTAGGAACCGTACAACAATTTTTATTACACTTATTATTTATTTGAATATTTTATGTGATGTTATAAGGGCTAATCAATCACAAACTATATTAACTCTGGCTGAGAAGATGCAACTCTAGCGGTTGTGAAAGAGCATGGTATACATTTCACGCGATTGGTCAGGTCTAGTTGCATCTTTTCAACCATTAGAAAAAATTCACGTTTCACAAGAGTGGTGAACTTATACGTCAAACATATTCTTTCCTTTTCTTAATGGTTTATTTAATCGCACCTTAGTTTTCCGATAATCCTATTTTATGTCTCTCTATTTTTAGATTTTATTAATTTAAATTAACTCTCTAATGGTAGATTCTTAACCCAAACTATTTCTCTTTCTCTTTTACATTATCATTTTTCATAATTTCAATCTATTTATATTTTGTTAGTGTCATTTCGTATTAATAAAGATCCCTTATTTGAGTACTAGTCGATTCACATATTCCCTATCTAATGCAAAGTATTTTTTTATGTTCTTTGATGGAATCAGTTTGTACATATCATTATATTGGGGCATTGAACTAATTTGTTTTGTTATGAGCTACTTACTAAGATGTATCTTTTGGTCAAGTATGATATTAATTAGACTATATTATGGATATTCTTTTAAATTCCACATTTGGATGTAAGAAATTGGTGTTGTTTTCAGTAGTTACTCTTTAAGCACTAATACTTATTTTTTGTTTATCAACATGAAAACCCTTAAGTAGTGAACTAGTGAAGGGATTGGGTGTTGGGTGTTGCCTTATCAATGCCAAGATGTTAGTAAACTCTTCTCATACATGTCTTTTCATTTGGGATTATTTAATTTGACTGTCTTACTTTACTCTATAGAGTTTTTAAAAGTACTTTTTGATTGTTATACATAGTTCATTCATGACAAGAGTTCATGTCGCAAGTTTTTAAACAAGAACCACACTACTAAGGGATGGAGGGACATTGCTCATATTACATCTGGTGTAGCAGCAGATTCGTTTAAGCCATTTATATTCCTTTTATGTTTGCATGAATTGAACAAGATTGTGATAGATGGATTATATTGTTAGAGCTTTCAATATAAGTTTTCAAAAAGAGTGTTTATATAAGTGATTTTCAATTCAAGAGAGTGTTTATGTGAAGACATGATACTTAATCTCTTCTTACATGTTGATTTCAATGAAGGCCAGGTATACTATTTCTAACCACGTAAAATTAAAATTGTTAATTTAATTACTTCGTTTCAATTTGTTTTTGGATAACTTTTAATTAACAAGAACAATTCATATGTATATGTTTCCCTTTTAAATGGTTTTAGCTTCTATGGTAGAAGAGGATATCCGGTCTAAACCATGAACTTTAAACTCACAAGGCTTAGAGTTTTAAAATTTATTTAGCTTCAAGTTTGATTGTATTTTGATTGACATCAGACTTACCTCAACTTCAATTAATCTGTGAAATTCCTCTACCTTGGTCTTCGCCCAATTTACCTTTCATTGAAAATTCTAAAGTTAATAATCGTTTATAGCTTAATTGCTCTACTCTTTTTCTTTATTTAATTATTAATCCCTAATACATACAACAAAGTGAGCTTCACATAAGGTCAGACACCAAAAAGTTATCTTTGCACACACATCTATTAATGCTTACTACTACTACTACATGATATCAGATAGGGCTGGGCACGGGCCGGGTCGGGGCGGGTAATGCAAAATAAAATGGAACCGCCGGTTCCATTGTACGGTTCGGTCCGGTCCGGGTATTACAATTTTCAAAATAGGAACCGGTAATTACCCGGTCCGTTTGAAACGGGTCGGTCCGGTCCGGATTTTACGGTTTATATTCTTATGTCTTGAAATTAGTAAAAACTAACGAAGTTCCAAAAATCAATAATCAATAATATAGGACATTAGCAAGTTTCAAAATAACAACATAGTGGTGCATATATAACACAAGCGAAAAAGTCCAATACTCCATATTTTCTTGTATATAAGTTTCAAACAATTAAAGAAATTCCAAAAATATGCAACATAGCCAAAATACATATTTTCTAACATTTGTATTTAAACATGTTGTGTAACATCACATATTAAAGTGATTACTTTTTTTTATATTAAATTTTCAGTATTAGCCAAAGTTGACACATACATGGTGGGTGGTAAACACTTTTTATATATTTTAATAACAATATAATAAAAAATATAACAAAATCATCTTTAACAAATAATTAAATTCCATAGAAAGGAATAATTCAATAACAATAAAAAGTAATAAGATATTTATGAAACATTTAATCAATAATTTGAAAACAAAAAGGATGTTACTGCAACTCAATTTAAAATCCTACTTCTAGCACAGGAAACAAAACTACTTCAAAACCGATTATCACAAAACTATTAATAAATTAATATACAATATATATAACGGGCCGGGCCGGGTACCCGTTATTTTTTAATTTTGGAACCGGTCCGGTTCCTTAAAAAAAATTACCCGACCCTACCCGGACCGTTTTATGGAAACAAAAAATGGAACCGGCCCGTTTTGGACCCGAACCGCCATTACCCGGACCGGACCGCGGTTCCAAGACCCGTTTGCCCACCCCTAATATCAGATATCACAGTCAGTAAGAGTAGGGCATAACCCAGCCCAAAACTAATTATCATGGAACTCAAAGTTATTTCAACCCAAATGGTTGTTGCAAACATCATATATGAACCGAGTAACCATTTTACCCGGCCCAAATACCAACCCTCACGGCCCCAAGCGTCCGCGAACTGAACGCAGAACGGACAACCCATCCAGCTAGGCACCGATTCACGAACGAGAGGACGAAGTTGAATCCTCGAAGAACAGCACTTGACTGGACGAAGCCGAGAAACTCACGAACGCCTTTCGCGGTTCGCGACGCGGAGGTCGGAACGCCGACGCAGCGAAAGCTGTGATGCTTGGCCGCCTCCCAACCGGCGCGCGGTCCTGCCTCTTCTCAGTGTACCTGTGATCCGATTCTTCCCAATTTCAAGGCCAGAATCCCAGCCCCTCCGGCCCTTCAGTGAAATCTGCCTGCTGTCGTTCCTGGTATTGTGCTAATCTGCTATTTACCTATTTAACTCTTATATTGATTGCTTGATTTGTTTAATGGTTCATAGAAGTATAGAAACACAGTTGTTAGAATGTTGATTGTTGTGAGTTGATTAGTTTCTGTGTGTTGATTACTTGATTTATTGTTTAATTGATATGAGTAGTGCTGTAGGGATTTTGTTGGTTTGTAGATGCCACTAATTAAGTTATTAGTCAAATCCTGAATATATCCTCCTTATGGTGATGCATTATCAACTGTACAATTAATTTCCTCTTCTTTACATGAGAATGATAAACAGGAGGAGATGAATGATTTAACAGCCGAAAATGAAATGGTTCGGAATGATCATATCTTAGGAGGTCATAATTTAGGATTTGAAAATACCCAAAATTTTCCTATGATTTTTTGGTATTTATGATCATGCTGATCGGGAGAATCCAGATGCCAGAACAAGAGATGTCATAATTGAAAGGGGCCCTATAAGTAATATTTTTTTTGAAACTGTGATTCTGTTATGTTTAATTTAATGAATTTAAGAGTTTCATAAATTTTTATTAAGCCCATTTTCATCTCAACGCCTCTAGGCCTTGAAATAGACAAGACTGGCCCTGTAGATGAGATAGGGTTTATCAGAAGAAGCCCTTCATTTTCTATCCTCTGTCGCCGCCTCTGATTGTTATTCCTCACGTTTCTTATTGCTGAAACTTTGTTGTAAAAAATACTTTTCCTTGCATGTTTTAGAATTTTAATGTTTAAATTTTGTTTCTCTATTAAATGCTCCATGGATTGATTTTATCCTCGAATATGAATATGAGTTGTATATTGCATGTAAGTTTTGGTTAAGATAAATTAGTATATCAACCCTCCATTCCCTAAGTAGTGTCTTTTAACCAAGATGGTTACCGGTGTTAGTTTTTAGTATAACAGTTACATGTATTTTATGATTGTTTTTGAATGGAAACTGGGTCTTACAGTTACTAGTGACCCATTGGCCATTGGTACACATTGCTTCAACTGGCGACCCATTGGGCCATTGGTACCCTAACACAGTCAATTGCCACTCTGAGCTTTAAAATCTTGATTACTATGGACACAGGTGGACACATACGCTGATCCTAATCATCGGTTCAAGACACTTCCCATTTGCGTGACTAGCTGCCTCCAGTTATCTATCCAATGGCTGCTCATATGAACATGGTAAGTGTTACAAAATACCATTTAACTGTAATGCAGGTAACCTCCTGAGATGAATGTAGTATGATTCTGAAAATTTTCAAAATATTCTTCTATTTAGATCCGCAAGAATTTAGTACTATCCTCCGTCTCTTTTTAATCGCAACATGTTGAATTTTACACTATTCACATATTCTACTTTGACTATATTTTATATTATTATTTTATGAAAATTAATTTTTTAAAATTATATTGTTCAATTCATCTCATTACAAATTTTCAAAATCTAGTTTTTAAATATTTTTTACTAATAGGGATTAAGATATAATTACGGTCAAAGATGTGCGTTGACAATTGTGAAATGTTGATCGTTGCAACTAAAAAAGAACGGAGGAAGTATTAAACTTTCAAACTGATCAGTTTTGTAAAAGGTTGCTCTTTTCTCATCTGAATTTTGCTTTTTCTGAAAAGTTGAATTTCCGCAGAGTAATTGGGATTCTTATACTGCAACTTGGATATGTTAAATCGCTTAATTTTCAAGCATATGCTTTGATCAGATATGAATAATGTGTAAACTTGTTAGTGAATTAGTTTTGTAATATTCGTTTCTCTTTCCAGGAGATTGAGGATGATGATGATTATGTTGAGTATGTTCCTGTGGCAAAACGAAGGGCGCTCGAGGCACAGAAAATCCTACAGCGAAAGGGCAAATCGGCACCGTTAGAAGAGGAAACTGAAAAGACAAAACAAGTTGAGGCAAAGCCGAGCTTGCTTGTGAAGGCTACTCAGCTAAAGAAGGAAATGCCAGAGGTGAGTGTGACTGAGCAAATGGTTCAGCAAGAGAAAGAAATGATCGAGCATCTCTCTGATAGAAAGACTTTGATGTCAGTGCGTGAACTTGCAAAAGGGATTACCTACACAGAACCTATGTTCACTGGATGGAAGCCTCCATTAGCCATCAGAAGGATGGCAAAAAGAGCTCGTGACACCATTCGTAAACAGTGGCACATTATTGTGGATGGAGATGATATCCCTCCGCCCATTAAGAATTTTAAGGATATGAGGTTTCCGGACCCTATCCTGGACAAGCTTAAAGCTAAGGGAATTGTTCAACCGACTCCAATCCAGGTACAAGGATTGCCTGTCATCTTGTCAGGAAGAGATATGATTGGAATAGCATTTACAGGATCAGGGAAGACACTGGTTTTCGTTTTACCGCTTATCATGGTGGCCATACAGGAGGAGATCATGATGCCTATTGTGCCTGGAGAAGGGCCATTTGGATTAATCATTTGCCCATCTAGGGAGCTTGCACGACAGACTTATGAAGTAATAGAAGAGTTCCTAGAGCCTTTAAGGAGGTCTGGGTACCCTGAGATAAGACCTTTATTATGCATTGGAGGAATTGACATGAAGTCCCAGCTAGATGTGGTGAAAAAAGGAGTTCATATTGTGGTTGCAACACCTGGAAGACTTAAAGATATGCTCGCTAAAAAGAAAATGAGCCTTGACAATTGCAGGTAACAATTCCTTTTTGCTTTTGTAGGATTAGTGTGGCATGAATGTTTTGGAAGCTATGTTACAGGATTTAATACATTAACTCTATAATTAGAAGTTTATCTTTGGCAAATCATATTTTATTCTTGGTATTTTTAAGACAATGCTTCCAGAGTCATAGTTCAAGTCAATTGGATTTTTGTCTGTAATTTCTATCGTCTGTCTATACTTCCAGTCAGTTTAGAAGCATGAACCTTCGTTTGAATGTCTTGGGACATTAATGAGTTTAGAAGCATGAACCTTCGTTTGAATGTCTTGGGACATTAATGAGTTTAGAAGCATGAACCTTTGTTTAACTTCATTCATTCTTCATGAGGTTAAAACTTCTGAATTCCCTACATTGGCTTCAATCTGCCTTTTATTCTTCCTCCATTTTCAGAGCATTAACTAATCCCAAGTTGGAAACCTAATAGTGCATGCACAGTTCTTGTTACTCAAATGTTTATTATATCTTTGACTTCCTGTCAGTTTAGACATTCACTTGCCCGCCATGCTTGCCTTATCTGTAGATATTTAACACTAGATGAAGCGGACAGATTAGTTGACCTCGGTTTTGAAGATGACATCAGGGAAGTGTTTGATCATTTTAAAGCCCAAAGGCAAACTCTACTTTTTTCTGCCACAATGCCCACAAAGATCCAAAACTTTGCGAGAAGTGCTTTGGTTAAACCCATAACTGTGAATGTGGGAAGAGCTGGAGCAGCTAACTTAGATGTTATCCAAGAAGTAGAGTATGTGAAGCAGGAGGCTAAGCTGGTTTATCTTCTTCACTGTTTGCAGAAAACGCCTCCTCCTGTTTTAATCTTTTGTGAGAACAAAGCTGATGTGGATGACATACACGAGTACCTGCTTTTGAAAGGAGTGGAAGCTGTTTCTATTCACGGAGGAAAGGACCAAGAAGAGAGGGAGTATGCCATTTCATCATTCAAAGCAGGAAAGAAGGATGTGTTGGTGGCAACTGATGTTGCCTCCAAAGGGTTGGATTTTCCTGATATTCAGCACGTGATAAACTACGATATGCCTGCTGAAATAGAGAACTACGTCCACAGGATCGGGCGTACAGGTAGGTGTGGCAAAACAGGAATTGCCACAACGTTCATAAACAAAACTCAAAGCCCAACAACCCTTCTTGATCTGAAACATCTCCTGCAAGAAGCCAAGCAAAGGATTCCTCCGGTTCTTGCTGAACTTGAAACTCCAGGGGAGAATGATGATGCAATCACGAATGCAAGTGGGGTCAAAGGTTGTGCCTACTGTGGTGGTCTTGGTCATCGTATTAGTGATTGCCCCAAGCTTGAGCATCAAAAGAGCCAGCAAATCGCCAATCAAAGAAGAGACTACTTTGGATCTGGCGGTTATCGAGGAGAAATTTGATTTGCTATTTTGTATATTATTATATTTTGTCCGTATAATTTTCTGATCATTTAATAACTGGATTTTATCTTTTGTAGCACACTGGTCATCTACGGTAAGTTATACCGTACAACCGGCTTTACCATGTATTTGGTACAGCCGGGTACTTTTGTAATTAATTCCAAGTTGAAGGCTGATTATATTAACATCTGTTGATTTTTTTCTTCGTTGAAGGCTAGTTCCGGACAGCTACTTTCCCGTGGTCTGCCACATGTGAATTAATAGTGATCGATTAAAGGAGTGTTTGGGATTGCTTAAAAAAGCGCTTTTTAGCTTTTGACTTAAAAAAAGCTGAAAAGAGTGTTTTCAAATGACAGCTTCTGCTTAAATTAATCACTTAAAAGCTAAAAGCTGGAAGCAGGTAGAATGGTGCTTTAAACTGTTTCTCACTTTTTCTATTACACAAAAAGTACTTATTTTACCAAACACTACCAACTTTTACTTTATCAGAATCACTTTTTTCTCAAACATTATCAACTTTTACTATTAATCATTTTTCCCAAAATCACTTTAAAAAATCACTTTTTTAAAGTTGAAGCAATTGCAAACACTCCCTAAATCTGGGTTGGTGCCCGATTTTAGATGTAAAGGTGGAGGTCAAAGCAACTGCCTTAGGAGTTCAAAGGAGTGTTTGGGGTTGCTTAAAAAACGCGTTTTTAAGCTTTTGGCTTAAAAAAGTTGAAAAAAATGTTTTCAAATGATAACTTCTGCTTAAATTAATCACTTAAAAGCTAAAAGCTGGAAGCAGGTAGAAGAGTGCTTTAAACTGCTTCTCACTTTTTCTATTACACAAAAAGTACTTATTTTACCAAACATTACCAACTTTTACTTTTTCAGAATCACTTTTTTCTCACACTACCAACTTTTACTATTAATCACTTTTCCCAAAATCACTTTAAAAAATCATTTTTTTAAAAGTTGAAGCAATTGCAAACACTCCCTAAGTCTCCGCAGCGAACAATTTGAAAGATAGGAAAGCAAAAGGAGCACTGTATCAGGCTTAGGGTTTGTTTGCAACAGCTTCTGCTTTTAAAAAAGTGCTTTTTTAATGAAATAGGGATAAGTGATTAAATAAAAGTTGATAGTGTTTGAGAAAAAAGTGTTTTTGAAAAGTAAAAGTGGGTAGTGTTTGGTAAAATAGTGCTTTTGGTGTAATAGAAAAAGTAAAAGCACTTTTGACGCAGAAGCCGATAAAAATAAACGTTGTAGTGTTTGGGAAAATAAGTGTTTTTTAAAGCCAAAAGTTGAGAAGTGCTTTTTTAGAAGCAGTTGCAAACCAACCCTTATGCTAGTGTGTGCTTTGAGACGAAAGCTTCCCTCATGCTGTGAATCATCACGATCCTTTCTATTTTAAAAATAAATGAGCATACACAAATGAGAATGATTACATTCAAGAATAAAAAATTCAAGCGAGGCTTTGAATTTTTGTATACTCATATAGTAGATATGTTATGTTGATATCAATGCATCTTCAAAAGTACTACGTATAACAATAAATTAGATTTGCATATTGGCTTTATAAGAGTTGATTATAAATATAATTTACACAATTTGCACAAGAAAAAAAGAAAAGCTAATGGTATCCTAACAAATTCTAGTAGAGATGAACCCTAGCAGCCGTTTCCCCTCTTTGTAGGGTTGAGATTTTCCGCCGTCCCTATCAATATAGGATTGGAGCGACTGATTATACCGATTTTAGGTGTTCTAACGTTTGAGATTGCAACTACGTCGGAAGAGATGACATTGGCAGATGAATGTGGTGCGGCTGAGAGGTTGTATCGATGAGGGATTGTGAAGCCTTGGTCTGCCGTTCCAACGGTGGTGGAGTTGGTATTCACCCATATTGTTAGAGGTCGTCCTCCTCCAGATAGATTTGTTTTAAATGTTTTAGTCCGAGTTTATTTGTTTTAAATGTTTGAATTTTTGGAGTTCTTTTGATAGGCAAAGTTTCGGTTCCGATCATTTCAGGCCTAAATTTGCCCATTTCAGGTTTAGCGAGTCATGTTGCTTTGTATGAGGTGGCTGACTCTAAGTCTACTCCCAGGTTCACTACTGGACTTTGTGTCTGAAGGTTGTCTTGTATCTATTCTCGATTTTAATATAGTGGCTGCTCTTTTGTGATTAAAAAAACTACAAATAATAATTTAAATTAGAATACATGGGACAGGAGATCATGGTATTCAATTTTGGGGGTTTCAATACTCAATATACGAGACTTGATGTTCATTGAAAATGTTTTGATGATCAAGTACCAGAGCTTATGATTTTTTATATCGATGCATATTTCAAAAGTACAATATTACATTAGATTCGGATATTGGAAATCATAGGAGTTGTTTACAGATATAATTTAAAAAGTTTTTATAAAAACAAAAACAAAAAAAATTACAAGATATGAAGCAGATATCACGATGCTCAATATTTGACTTTTTTATGTTTTTAAAACATTTATTTATTTAAGGCTTTTAGTTTGATCTGTTTGTTAATTAAACATTTAAATTATGATGGCCGCATATGGGAAACCCTAGAAGGGTGAGCTATTGATTATGTGAGGAACGATGAAGGCTCTTGTTCGTCTAAGGTTCAACGCATATTCATAAAGTGGTATGTACAGTCGTATGACTAGTGTATTCTTTTCTAGGTTCTTCTTCTGTCAAATTAATGATGCTAGTGCCTACAGAGTGTTATGCTATTGTTTAATTGTTAAATGACATTCATCGAGTTCTAGATGTGTTTTTCTCAAATATCATAATGTTTATTCTCAACCCACCTATGACGACACTGTTGATTCGCCCTCTTCCAGAACCACCGCCATAGAAGGAAGGATCAGTACGAAATTTTTATTAACCAATTCAGTACAAGGCTAGAATAATGTCATTAGGATGCAGCATAACTGCAAACTGATATGATGACTTGTTGCTTTATTATTTCATTACTTCACTTTGTTTTTTGTAGGTTCGCCTGTATCGCACTTTGCATTACTTTGTATTTATTCGTGAAGACTTACATAGTGATGTTAAGCTTTAGTACATGATTAGAGACTTATGCGGCTCATTTGTGGGTAGTAGAGTCAAAGTATTATCAATGGGCTTATGTCCAGGGTTGGTGTGATCTTAAGTGTATTGTAATGTGGTTTGATTCATTGATTTTAATATAGACTATTTCCTTTGAAAAAATGTTTATCTATTTTGCCAGTTTTACCATAAATTTTTTACTTAAAAGGAAAGTGACAAAATTAGTGTGACAATAAAAAAAAAAGTTGACAAAGTTTTAAGGGACGGATGGAGTATTTCTATTTCTGTATTTGTAAAAAGTAATTATTATTTTTATAAAATTTATCAATTTTCTGAGTTATAATTGGATTGGTTTTAGTTTCAACCGGAATAGACTTAAACAAATAACATCAGACTTTGATAGTATAAAATACACATAAAAAGACATGTATCTCACCAGAAAATTACAGTTAAATTTAAAAAATAAAACGTTCCTAAAAATCAAACCCATGATACTTAGAAAGTTTGGCTGTAAATATGAACTCCTCTCTTTCATGTCAAAAGGTCTGGCTGTAAATGTAGACCAGACTAGATCAATATCTGTCTATTAAAAAAATACAAATCTGTATGTTAAAAGGTCAATAAAATTTAACAATACTTTTTTCTTATTTAAGGATTTTAGTGGTTACGATATGTATGTCAATCACCACTTTGTCTATCAAATAGGAAATATTCATTTGCTTCTATTTGTATGCAATGCATGAGGGTACAGATTTGAAAGAGTTCAAATCCATCTAAAACTCACCAATTTGTATCATTAGGGTACCGAAAGATCAGAAAATTATATTTAGCATAATATGAAATCAATACCGAAGATAAAAATTTAAATGTCAATACATGAGGCAATTAAATAAGCAGATAGAGAAAAATCATATGTGTCTGCAAATGCACTCATTCTCCTTAATTCCTTGTGATGATTATAAGAAAAATATTTCCAAATAACAAATACATTCCTCAAGTTTATGAAACCTCTTGAGCATTACAAATGGTAGTGATGCAAAGTTGCATGTAGCTTGGATCCAGACTATCGAAAGGGGAAAAGGAAGCACTTGGCCACAATTAGAATTCATATTGTACCAATTCAAACTTGTGTGATAGTTCAATATTATTTCAAGATGAATAATATAATAACCCGTTTGAGTTGTAATTAAAACCATTATGTAAACAAAGAAAATTATAATAGCACTACTCAAACGTACAATTTGACTACCTTAATAGATGGAATGAAATTAAGTATGTATTAAACTCACGTTGTAAAACATTAAGTTTTACGATACCTAACTCATAATCCCAACAAATGAAAGATACAAGAGTTACAATCAATACACGATGACACATTTTCATGAAGAATTTATTAATTACTTTTAGATGACGTTAGGTAAATCTGTTTTTTGAGTTATCAGACTTATCAGTCAATTTTTTCACCAAACACATAACTTTTGTTTTTGTGCGTTGAATTAAGTAATAAAAAAAATAAGGTTGGAGTTACTTTTCTGGCTGTATTGGCTGAAGTTACTGTAGATGACCATTTGTAGCTATTTTTACATATAATTATTTTCTTTATTTTATTAATAAAATATACTACGTATTTTAAAAATAATATTTTCATAAATCAGCAGAATTAGACAATGCAGCCACTTAAACCAAAATTTCATAAATTTCAGCAGAATCGGCCGATTTTCATGTTACCAAGCGTGCTCTTAAAGCTCGTTTGGTGACCCTGTTTTTCGGCTTATCAGACTTATTAGTTAATTTTTTCACCAAACACACAATTTTGATATGTCGCGCTGAATTGTGTAATAAAAATAAAAAGTAGGGCTGTAGTTATTTTTCTGGCTGTATTGACTAAAGTTACTGTAAAGAATCATTTTAGCTATTTTTCATGTAATTTTTTATTTATTTAATTAATAATACGTAACATATATTTTAAATCTATTTTTTTTTCATAAATCAGCATAATTAGCCAATTCATCCGATTCAATCAAAATTTCAAAAATTTCAGCAGAATAAACCGATGCAACCAATTTGGTTATTACCAAATGGCTCTTTAGTTCTTCAATTTTTAGGCGACATTTTGGTGTAAAATAATGATAGTGCTTTTTGTGAATGTACTTCATATATACTCCTCGTATTTTCTTTACTATTCAGTGTAATTATATGCTACATAGAATTTTCTGAAGTGTTTT